AAATAAATTAAATAATATAACCTGTACAAATTCTTGCATAAAAGAGATTAAAAATAAAGGAATCGGTTCTATTTTCGTCTATATCCCTCCCTCTCCATTAAAATGATTTACCAAAACAGAAAGAAGTGTTCTTTCTCCCTCGCTTTCCTCTCCTTCTCCTTTAACTTCCTCAATCCAAACGTTAGAGTCTGTTGGGGCTTCTTTTCTCCTGTAACAAACTACAACTACTTATAACACACTCTCAACAAGTCAACAACCTTACTCCAGTCAGCATTCCTCCTCTGCCCAGCACGTAACTAAATTGTACTTAGTATCACAGAATGAACCAGTCCCGGCTGGAGGAAGAAGAAGGCTCAGGGTGTCAAGGGACATGGCCGGAATTATCGGAAATATGTGTGTGGGTTTTGAAAGTTGATATTTTGAGGCTTCGTTTTTTTTTTTGGTTTCTCGTCCTGTATCGGAGGCTTGGCCCCGATTAATCCGAATCCGACCTGTATCACACACTTGAAAATGGTGGGTGAATCTGCCAGCAAAGACTGTTGCATTCACAAAGTTTCGAACTCAAAAGCTTACTCAAGCTGAAACAAGTCGCTTACCACTTTATCCAACCCACCGTAGGATGAAGCTTCGTTTTTACTAATTACACTTTCTTTCTTTTATGGATTTGGATTTTGGAATAATTAATTCTATCCTAGAAAAAGCAGGTGCCTTTTAAGTTTTAACAAAACGACAGCCGGTACAATTGAAAAGAAATTAAAAAAAAAAAAATTCTGAAACTGGAATCGCCACTTCCGTCAGAACCCTCCAGGGTTTAGCAGTCAATCTCCCGCCTCAGGTACATATTTTTTTCCTGGTTCTTGTGTACTGCGTAGGCCTTTAAGGAAGCTCTTCTGTTACTCTGTCTAGACACCATGTTGCACTCTAATTCATCCTCTGTGCCAAAGTTATTGGCTTTTAATTTGGGGATTATCAAAGACGGTGCAGGGGTGCATGTTTCAGTTCTGTGCATGGTGTTGACACTTATAATAAAAAATTGGGTTTTCAAGAAGGAAAAGCTAGTAATGCTGCTTGTATTTAGGCTGTTAAGGTAATTATTAAGGAGAAAAATGGAGAGGCTGATTCTTATGGCTTATGGTTGAGATGGATCAAATTGTTGTCTGATTTTCGTGGTAAAAGAAAAGGAAAATACAAGAGACTGTTAAATTTTCAATGCGTTTTTCTTTGTTTATTCTATGATAAAGTGAGATGGTGTACATGAGAATGAAAAGTGGAACAATCATCTATACAAGCAATAATTGGTCTTTTGAAGTTTAACTGCTATCTTTGCTGCGTACAATTAGCTAAGTTCTACGAGTTTTTGATTTGATTTTGATACATGATTGAGGAGTTGTACCCTTTAGATTTTATCTGACATCATTAGCAAGATCTTAATCTTTATGCCTATTCCCATCCATCTCTTATAGAACCTGATACTGTTTACAATTTGTTTACATTGCAGGAAGTTCCTATTGGAGAATGGCTTTGTCCATCAGTTCATATACTGCAACACTTCCTCATCTGCATACAATAAGGAATCAGAAAATCTAACATCTGCACCTGCAGCCTCATGTGCAACAGACAAAAGTAGATATCCTTTCAGAGAGGCCTACGGCATCACTAGATGGGGACACATCTCTTCTGAATCCTGTGAAACAAGGAGATCCTTGGTATGTAAGTTTTAGTTTAAATCGTCAAAAAATTAACAAAAGTCAACACTTTTTATGATGTCTAATAATTTTTGTCCTGAGTTTCTCTATGCGTCTCAGCATTACTATGATAATCATATTAATTAATCATCCTAACAATGAATGCTGATATATGTGCACAAAGGATCCCTACCCAGTATCCCCTTCCCAAAAAGTAAAATACAGTATGCTTTAGATATTATGTGAGAGAAAGGTGACTATATATGTACCTTAACTCTGAAGATCTTCTGGTAAATCACTAATCCAATAATCATCAACATGGTTGGCACCTTGATTAGCATTTTTGTTTCTTCTTTTCCTCCTCCTGCTCCAGCCCTCATGCTCCTTCTCTCCTTGTATCAACCATAGCAATGAGGTTAGCTCAACACTCATTATATGGAACCAAATAGTTTGTGTGGTCTTATTCACTAGAGAATAAAGCTATGTAAGTTGCGGATGCTAAATGGAGGATTTAGCAGTATTTATAAGAGAAAAACTAGGGTTTTTTTTTCTTTAGAGAATGTCTAAATCCCAAAATAGTCCTCTACATAATCTGATATCATGAATGGCAAATTTGGTACACAATCTTGATACAATGTACCTGTTAATTATGGTATGTAGGTTAGATTTTCTTGGCAAATATAGAGTAATTTCCTTAAACAAAAGTTTCTGAAACATTTTTTAGTCATTTTTGGTTATTCCAAATATGGAAATTTCTAAACATTTTCTTGAATATTGGCAATGTATATAAGGGCACAGGTTAAGGATGCAATAATTGCACCGTTTTGTTATTAATTTACGTGAAAATCAATACCATTGCCACATAGATAGTTTTAATTGGCTAATTGAATAAATTAAAGTCAACATTTATATTTTTTATACAAATTGATTATAAAAAAGAACAATAAATGCATCCTTAACCTATGCCCTTTAGGCACACATTAGAAAAACTATTTTTCAAAATGTCTTATTTTATAAATCATGGTTAATTAATTCCGTCAAACTTGAGAACAATTTAAGAACTACTAATGGAATTTTGTTAAATCTCCACAAAGAACTAATTAAGGAACTACTAATACAATTTTTTCATAACGGAAAACTACTTAACGAACTCTATAACAGAAGCTACTTAACAAGCTCTTTCAAACTACTTACCGAACTTTTCATAATTGGCCCAATGGTTAACCATCTGAGCTTTAGGGCTTGGACTTTATTAAGTCTTGGGTTCAAACCTAGGGAAGAACATTCCTCCATCCCCTTGAATTACCCTTGTTCAAAAAAAAAAAAAAAAAGCGCTTTTCATGATAGAAAAGTACTTAACAAATTCCTCGTATACACATCTGATCTAATGAACCCTTCTTGATGGAGAACTACTTATGCTAACCAGATAACACAGAAAGTAACCTTTTCTTTCTGATGGTTAATTAATCTCTGCAACTTGAGGATGATTTTACATACTCTTCTTAACAAAGAATTGATTAAGGAACTGCTAACAGAAATTTTTCATAATGGAAAACAACTTGATGAACTTTATAACAGAAGCTACTTAATTAACTCTAGCTACTGACTAAACTTTTCATAATGGAAAAGTACTTAACAAATTATTATAGACAACTGATCTAATGAACCTATCTTAATGGAGAACTACTTATATTAACCAGATAACACAAAAGTAAACTTTCTTTCTAAGAACACTAGCAACATTTATACTAACCAGCAGATTTTCTACTTTCTTTCAAATCAGCATCATGATTTCATGATATATTAGATTGCTCCTCAAGTCAAACTAAAACTCTGCCATGATTTAACCAACTTGAGATGAATTGTGAGGCCAATCTTTTCTCTCCCATTTCCTTCTAATGAACCAAGGCAAGAGAAGCATACCCCTTGCCCTCTCCCTCACTATAGTTTCACCCTTCTGGTTCCTCTCTTCCAAACACTTCTCCCTCCCTCTTGCTAACAATACTATTATACTGCCACTGTGTTCAATTGGCTACTTGTTAACCAAATGTTTTCTCACACTTCATTACCCATTTGAGATTGAAAATTGCAAATTCTAGAATGGCAAGCATTACATTTTGTTTTAATCTACTGTTTAAAAAAAACTTAGTTTGAATCTAGAATAGTTTTTATTATTCTTCTACAGAAAATTGAAATATACACAAAGGATCTTTTGTGCTAAAGTTGGTGACTTTGGAGTTGGGGGTTATCAAAGATGGTGCAGGGACTCAAGTTGTCAGTTTAGTGCACAATGTGCAGATGAAAAGTAAGATGAACTGTGTTGAAAAAAAATGGTTTTCTAAGAAAAAGTAAGATTATAAAGCATACTGCTGCTGATGTTTAGGCTGTTAAGGTGATTCTTAAGGAGAAAAACTGAGAGCCAGATTGTTCTA